TCTGGGTTGTAAAGGCAGTGCTGTTACCATAACAAGTAAATAGTGAGTGTGATATTCACTTTTAGTCAGTGTTGCCAGCCTCCCTGTGGTTGGATTCCTCCACGCTCCACCATAATATGATACCAGCCTGGATAAAGGCAGGTTATTTATATACATTTAGAAGGGTAAAAACTCCAGGGGGAAAGAAGGTAAACACATTTTTTAATATGAGATTCATGTCATGAAATAAAACCCATGCATAGTACAAACATACCTTCAGGAAACTTCGGAACCTTTTGGTGCAGTGTGCAGAGAGTACAACAGCAAATATTTAATGAACTTACAAAACCCTGCACACACATTATATGACAGCTGTATTAATTGATCTTTTTTAGCCACTCAGGGGCAGCAGAAGAAGCTCAAAACTAATCTAATAAGGTTGAGTAAATTCAAACCCTATAGTCACCCTCCTTTTTTGACTCTGATTCGATCTCAAGGCTGTGTATCACTTTACACTAAATAGATAATGAAGTATATAGTACAAATACTGCGTTGCTGTAATTTAGTAGTTTTCTAGTACTACTATTTACTTTTATACTTTGAGTACACTTATAAGCTTTTCCTCTTTTACTTGAGCAAAGAACTTGAATCAGAACTTTTACCAGAGTCTGTTTTTAAGAAATGTGTGTACTTTTTCCACCTCTGTATATTTGTGTATATATGTCAAGAGTTAGGTGATTATTGTCTGGTTTGTCACTACGGGTGACATTTCACATAGTCATTTTAACCATTGTTAATATTTAAAAAGAAAAGATTGGTGCAGCTTTAAATGCTGATGTTTTAAAACTTTAGTAGTGTAAGTACATGTAAGGCCTCTTTTTCCTGTTCAGTTTTATGCATTCCATGATTGATTTTATGAGTGCCACAAGGTCAGTCGTGGAGCTGCTATAGCAGCGTCTTATCAGCACATATCTGCTATTTCTAGACATCATAAAGCTATCAACTGCCAGACATGACATCATCCTTCACCTGTTAGCTGTTATCGTCTCTATATCTCTGTTACAGCTGGTTGACACAAAACAGCAGTTTATTACATTCTGAAAGATGTAAGGACAATTTACAACCCTAATCAGAAAATGCAAAAATCTGATTGATCTACAACTTTTATTTATCCATGATGTGACCAAGACATTGATAAAATATCACACCAGAAATTAACCACTGGCTTTGAATGAAAATGTTTGATCAAGTCAACATGAATAAGGACATTTAAAGCCTCATTAGAAGGGTTCTGTTGGCTGAGAGGACACACTGGCACAGTGAAGGCTTGTTGGAAGTGTGCTTCGACCTCCTCTCTGTTTGTAATGGCTTCCATCTATCCACCCATCACCTGTTTCGAACATGAAATCATGTCTGGCTCCATCATTTTCCGAGGAAAAAAGTTCCTTTTAAATATCCAACTCACAACTTTGTTATTCACCAAATGCTGTGAGGATCCAAATAATTAGCAACTGGTTAAAGCATTAAGAGCATGAGTCAGAGATGGCAGCATTTGAAATCCCACCATTCAGATCCTGAAACACACATACCCATTCACACACACACACACACACACACAGATGACGTGTGTAATTGCAAACCGGAGGCGAGGATCCCTCTATTAGTCCGAATGATGTGTCAAACCTCATTGAACACTGCATGAGAACACTCTGGCATCCTGATTGGAAAAGGCAACATGAGTCCTATTACCAGTTTGTCTTGGCACCATCCGATTGGTTGTGTCTCTGCCACAAATACACACACTAACACACTCCAATCATGGCAGAAAGACGGCAAGGAAATAAACCTAAAACCTCAAAAACCTCCAAGCAATCTTAAAACCCTTAAAGCATACACACACTTACAGACACATGGAATTTGAGAAGCAGTGTCTGACTGTCTGGCCTTCTTATTTCGCAACCCACTTTACTACCAGACTTTTGAAGTTGTCTCAAATCAAAAAATCTGTGCGTGTGTTTGTGTTTAGTATTTTTGATTTATTGCGTCCACGTTTTTGCCCACAGCAATTTCAGAGAGATTTACTGCTTTACAGTTACACACACCGACACACACACACAACCACAAAATTAAGATATTATTCATCCCACTCTGAATATTTTTTACCTTGTATGATCACACAGCAGCCCAGTACATGATATATTTAAAGGTTATAGTTTCTTTGAAGAGAAAAAGAGTTTAAAGCATGTGAATCAGACCTATTTTAAAGTTAATTAGGCTGTATAATCATATGACAGTTGTTGCTTAGGGCACATCTGTGCAAAATAGAGCTTCGTCTGCTGTGATCACTGCACACATTATAATAAAGGTTACATCAAGTCTCGGGGTGACAAACAAGTCTTTAATGTTTTTTTCACAGAGTAGTTCAGTCTTTGCTGCATGCAATGTAAGCCTATGATGTTGTTGCATTAGTGCCTGTAAATAATTATCAAGCCACAAATAGTTGTCATTTGCTCAGTCAGTCTTGCAACTTGCAATAAAAGGTTATCAAACAATTCAAACTGACTGTGGCCAGCTATGAAAACACACTGAGCACTAGCCTGCTATACTTAGCTGCAGATAACCTTTGTCATAAAACTACGCCAGGCAGTGAAGACAATGATAATTATTTGTTGTGCACTGCACATACTGACACAATTGAAAAGCCAAAGTTAACATTTTTTAACAAGCTAATGCTTATAATGTTGTTAACACTAATTAGAAGTTTGCAGACACTAAGCTGATATACTCATAACACTTCATCTACAAGTGCATGTATCTTATGTATCTTATCTATCTATCTTCATCAAGGACCACAGTGGAGATAAGCCTTGGACATTATTGTGTCATTCTTTACATTTTATAGATGTGTGATTTAGTGTCTTCTTCCTCATAATGTGCATTAGGAAGCTAACTGTATTAGTGTAAGCTTGCTGGCTAAAATAGCCTACATTGACAGTACAGTAGTATGCAGGACTGTAAATGAATGATATGACATTATGTGCACTGGCTGGTGTTTTATGACAAAAGTTAGCTGCAGCGTGACATTCCAGAGGGCGACCTCCGTGGAAGGTGACCTACTGTAATTAGGATATTATGTTCTATTTCTGCCAATAGATCCAACTAAATGGCACACACTGGACCTTTAGTGGAACTAAGGAGCTAAATTAGTTAATTAGGAGTTAATTTTATCAACTGAAAAAAATTCTTAACTGATGTTTATGTTTGTTGTTGCATTCCATTATAATTATGTAACTCACAGTATTATTTATTGATGTATTCAATTGTAGTTTTGACTTGATTGATAACCTGTGATACATTTCTATGGCTTCATAGTGCTCAGTGGAAAATCTGAATGCAAAATAGATTCAGGGTGGTGTGACTTCTTAATGGTCAGTCCTTGGTCCGAGCTCCTCCAGCCTGCCAATGTGGCAGCTTCGCTCAGGAGTAATGTTCCCCTGAGGGACTGAGTGAGACACTCTTTGAAAAGGTGCCCAGCCAGAGCAGACCAGGCCGGGCCGGGCCAAGCCGAGGCAGACAGGCTCTCAACTGTTTTCTCCCCACCGCTGGAGCTCTGAGGGTTGGCTGCCGTTCTGTCCGGGCTGGCAGTCAGAGTCAGAGGAGGTAGTTAATGCTATAGCTCATGAAGCTGTAAAGGCAGCTCACTGTTGGCAGCGTCCACTGTAGGCCTATTGACTGAGTACACAGTCAGCTCCCTACTGAGATCACAAGCTTAAAGATACAGACCCATATGTACATATACTTTTTAAAGTCATTGTTACGATGGAAAGAACATGATTTACAGCACTCCATAGAGTGGAGAACAGCATGTTGTTTTCATAGCACAGACCTTGAGAATGACTTCCCTGTGGTGGGCTGACTTGTGTTGGACTGTTACTGTATGAGTAGTGGGAGGAAATTGCATTTCGCTGCTGCTGCTGCTGTATGCAGCACCCAAAACACACATATTAAGCTGTGTGTCCTTCAACAACCTGCCTTTATGCCACTACCTTCCCTTCTACTTAATTTTTTGTGGAAACAGTAGGCTGTTTTCTGAAGAGTAAAATGAGGTGTCTAAATATATTTTATTGGTGCTGGATAAAAATTGTAAAAATGGAATCCAGATACTCTTTCAGTTCAAACAACCATATTTTGCTGCAATCTCAATAAACCAATCATCATTATCATTGCTGTCAACATTTGAATCTGTTTTCTTCTCTGCTGCTGTCAGCTGTCATTTCAACGCGAAATCCTTGCGACCTTCCTCCACCCCATTTACCTCTAGTTCATCATATCCAGCATCCAGGTTGAGCTCATCACAGCCAGATCTTAAGCTATTCTCGTCATCCCATCACCATCATCAGTGTCTAGACACCACCCATGGCTTCACCACTACCGTAAAATATGATAACGTCACAATGTCGTTAGTAAGACTCTCACATTTCTCATCTTTATTGTCCACATGGCAAAAACAATTGTATTTATTTGGCGCCCTGGTAGCTCACCTGGTAAAGTTGGTACCCCATGAACCAAACCATGGTTTTCACCATCTCTCTCTCTCTCCCCTCTTCCTGCCACTCTACAGCTCTATCTATCAATTAAAGGCAATAAAAGCCCCCAAATATATTTATAAATATATTTATAAATATAAATAAGTATTTGTTGACTCAGAATGATGCCTCCTGATTGAAACAGTAGCAGCATTTCTGTGCTGGATTCCAATTGTCCAATCGCACATTAACAAGAAACGAGGCACCATGTAATCCAGTTTTAGTGTTTTACCAGCCTGACTTTACTATTCCTACTGTTGCTAGCTCACATCAAAAGTGTCCAACTGTCAAACACGGGGTGGCTTACATTGTGAAGCAGTAACCGGAAACGTTATGTTTTTGTCACAGTTAGCACTGACTGTGAGTGTTCATCCAAACTATAAAATCTATAAAAAGGGAGTTTTCATTTGAGTTGATCGGTTTTAAATGTTGCAGTGATGAACGGACCAAGAGGGAGCAGCCACAGTGAGCTGTTAAATGAAGAGCTGCCAGTGACGGACAATATACATCCAACTTCTCCAGGTAGCTTGGAACAATAATGTGTGTCTGCTACATCTAATGTATGTTTTTTCCGCATAAACAAGTGTTGTATCCGCATTAAAATCCCTAAAAAGGCATCTTCTCCATATACATTTTTAAAGGTCTAGTGTGTAACATTTAGGAAGCTCTATTGGCAGAAATGGAATATAAAATTCATAGGTATGATTTCATAAGTGTTTATTCACCTGAAAATAAGAATTGTTGTGTTTTTGTTACCTTAGAATGAGCCCTTTTTATCTACAGATGCAGCAGTTCGACTTTAATTGAGTCCACCGTGTTGAATTGTTGCCTAGAACGAACAAACCAAACCTTGCACCTTTTTACGGCCACCATAGTTTCTCCTTCATGTTTGGAAGGTGAAGGGTAAGTGACAGAGTTGCAATCTGCAATTACACCACTAGATGCCACTAAATCCTACACACTAGACCCTTAAAAATTCCATCATCTTAAAGATCTCCTCCAGACATGTATGTAGAAATAGTCTGCTTAGAACAATAATGTGTGTCTGATACGTGTTTTCTTCAAAAAAATGTCCTCCATTAAAATTGGTTCATTAAAGGTTCATAAGTTCATTAAAACTTCCAGAATCTGTGAATATGCAAATGTTGTTCATTTCTAAAGCTTTGCTGCTGGACACAAGATGTCTCCTACTTCACTGTAAAGTCCATTCTCAGTGGATGTGCACTGGTGGCTTCAAGGTTCTACATCACACTTTACAAGTGTGAGTGTAGAGGAGCTTTCAGCTAAGCTACTATGTCAACACTTCCTGCAGCTTCTTCAATGTGCAGCCAGTATCAGTTCTTTTCTTTTACATGGAAGCAGTCACTTGAGAAATCTTAGCAGTCTTCTGTCAGTCCAAAATGACTCCTACTTGTCTTCAACAGCGCTTTGTACCCATGTTGGTGGTTTCAATTGTCAGCCCACCTTAGCTTCAGATAGGTAGGGAAAGTACTGCACAGTCTGCGACATCACAGCAAACTATCATGACTCATGTTTGCAGCGTTCACCGCAATCAGCAGATCAGAGTTAAACCTCTTCAATGCTGACTTTTAAGATTCAATTCAAAGTAGGTCTTAATGTCACTAAGAACCCACAAGCAGTTTAGCTCTTAGATCTGGGAATTTTATAACATGGTAGTAGCTAAATACAATTCTGGTGGGTGTACCCTCCACCACTGTATGTGTTGATCTAGTTTACTAGTAGTTTTGTACTTACTTTCTTTTCAGTGTTGTGTGCTGCTTTGGTCTTGCTCTTGCCATATACTCTCAGCCTTTTTGTTTATCTCATCCCGACATCATTTAGATAAAGGCAAACCCGATGGTTCTTCCAGTTTATATAAAGGCTTTGATGAATCTTCTGTCTTCTCTTCCAGTTGTGGATCCAACTCCAGACGATCCATTGGTGTCTGTGATTCTTGTGAGCTTGCTTCCCCTGTTGGTGATGGTGACTGTGGTTGTGGGAATGGTCTACTGGTACCGAGCCTACCGGCAACGTGTGCTCAACCAAGAATGGGAAAGCAGCACTAAGAAGCGGAAGCCAAAAGCCGGTGGGCTGGATTGCAGCGATGCCTGCGCCATCATGATGGATGACGATAGGTCAGACAGCAGCTCGACGCGTGCCAACAGCCTGAACCACAACACTGAGCCACTGCCTATAGAGCTGGATCTGCTGGTATACACACCTAGAAGTATTTTGTGGAGCTATTCTGTTCAAAGCCATCTTGACTTAAATTATAACTAAAACTGTAATTTTGATCCTGTCCCAGGTGGGAAAGGGTCGCTTCGCCCAGGTATACAAGGGTAAGCTGAAGCAGACCACCTCAGATCAGTTTGAAACGGTGGCTGTGAAGATCTTCCCCTATGAGGAGTACGCTTCCTGGAAGAATGAGAAAGACATCTTCTCCGATACAGACCTCCGACACGAAAACATCCTCCACTTCCTGACAGCTGAGGAGAGGAAGGTGGAGAAACAGTACTGGCTCATCACTGCCTTCCACCCCAGAGGAAACTTACAGGTGAGACCACCACTGTCAGGTAACCCAACATGAGAGGGGCAGTGTTACTCCATGTTGTGAACTGCAATTGCCGCAAAGAGTCTGTTTTTCCTTCATAAGTTTCAGTATCAAACCATTTTAGAATACTACTAATCCCATCATCCCTCTGCCCTCCAGGAGCACCTGACGCGTAATGTGATCAGTTGGGAGGAATTGCAGGTGCTGGGAAGCTCTCTGGCCCGGGGTGTCGCCCACCTCCACAGTGACCGCCTCCCCTGTGGACGCCCCAAGGTAGGACTGTGTGACAGCATACCAGAGCTAAAAATATACAGTATACTAATCATAATAATAGTAATCATTGTCAAAATAGATACAGAAAGAAACAGCTTACATAGATTGCATCTAGAAAGTACAGATTTAATGTCCAAATGATGATATATTTAGACAAAAAGTCTAAAGCCTCACTGGCAACACCTCAAGTGTAAAAGTAAAAGTATTTGACAGAACAAACATACTAACAGACATATTTGACAATTTCAAGCTCTACCAGTCATAGAACTAAACATGTACGTAGTATGGAAATGATGCTCAAAATGTAGGTTTTAAAATATACATGTATTTACTTTTTAAAATCATTATGAATATGATCCAATACTGTTTTAACTCATTGTCAAAATAGACCCAAATATAATTTGTCGAAACCATTATGTGAAATTTATTGCATTTTGTTTTAAAGTTAATATAATAGGAATATATGTGTGATTGATTATAAGTCTGGTATATGTCAAAGTTTAGTGTTATTTTAAATTTTTTTACTGTTGTCCTTCGGGTGTGTGTGTATGTGTATATGTGTGTATGTGTGCATTATATTCGCTGTGTGTGTGTGTTTGCACAGTGTAACCCAATGGCCCTTCTGGGGTCAAATTACAGTAAGGAAGAACAACAAGTCTTCTAAAGTTCAATCAAACACACAAAATTCAGTGAAAGTGGTCAAAATTGATTTTATGTAGAGCTCCCATACAATGGAACCATCCATGTTGTTTTGGTGAAGTTAGATCTAAAAAATGCCATATTTATGACATAAAGAACATTGAAATGGGGTCAAAAATGACCCCAAGACATTATGAGGGTTAAAGGGTGTGTCCTCTTGAGATCATAAATGTGCTCAGCAAATTTTCATTGATGAACTGCAGATAGATGCTAGCAAGTAATGCTAGTGGAGTTTCTGAATTGAAATAAGTTCATCCTCTGGCAAATTTCATGGCAACCTGCCCACTTAATTGCGATATTCCGTGTCTACAAACTTTTTTGTCTGGTGACACCAGAGGAAAGGTCAAGTGGTCAAGGGGTCAAGATGTCTCGTCATTTACCACATTGATCAATATAAAATGTCTTTATATATAATTTTTGTGCTATTGCAAGTTCATTTGTGCTTTTCTAATTCTTTGTGTTTACAATTTATTTACCTACTCTGATGCTTTTTATTTAGAAATGTACACTTTTGACATCCATATTCCTATTGTGCCTAAAGGTGGCCATAGTCCACCGAGACCTGAAGAGTTCCAACATCCTGGTGAAGAACGACCTGACGTGCTGCCTGTGTGACTTTGGGCTGGGACTCCGCCTGGACAGCAGCCTGTCTGTGGATGACCTCGCCAACAGTGGACAGGTCAGATGAAAAGTCGCTTTCATTACTTTTCTTCTTTATGGTGTGACTTCATATGCTTCACTTTGAGCCAAGGGTTTGAGTCCGACCAGTGGCCCTTTGCCATGGAAATACTCAAAGTACTTAATAATTGTACTCAAGTACAGTACTTGAGGACAGTTCCCTGTCAGTGTCAGTAGTTACAAACCTAAGTACCATTGTCAGGTGTTTTAAAATCTTGCGTTGGGGTTTGAAGAAAAAGAGCATTATGTGCTGTTTTTTTTTTTTTTTTTAGTTATTTTTTTTATAGTGACAGCTGACGATAGACAGGAAAGGGAGGGCAGAGAGAGGGGGGATGACACGCAGCAAAGGGCCGCAGATCGGATTTGAACCTGGGCCGCTGCAGCAACTCCGGACATGGGTTGCCAGCTCTATCGACTGCGCTAACCGGGCGCCTGCATTGTGTGCTGTTATGGTAACTTCGTCTGTTTGCCATCAAAGCTCTGCATTAAAACAGCTTTGGTGAGATATGAGCTGGCCGTGTTTGTTTTGCCATTTTCTATCTAAAACTGTGTATCTGTGTGTTTTGATGCGATACACCTCATTTGCTGACAGAAGAGATGTGACGGAGACAGACAGCAATCAAGGGATGAAGGTAGTGGTAAAGGCTTTGTTGTGACATACAAGCTCCTCAAGTCTGTCAGTGTACAGTAACTTTGTCCTGCTTGTTTATGACTTATGATTCACTGGCTGGAAATGAACAGGGACAGGTGAGAGGCTGTTGACATACTTGTGACCCCTTTGCACACACATATTATCCTCTACTCAAATATATGCACACAAATATACACATACAGTGCATGCAAACACAGGAGAAACCTGGCTATGAATCACATCACCACTTGCCACCCTTCAGTCTTGTACACTGTGATTCTCTTCATCTGTTCCAGTGTTCTCTGTTGCATTGTTTTATCCATTCAAATGTTCAAATTATGATCCGTGGCAGTCATGTTGTGTTCCATATGCAATTGGAAGCTGGAAATTCCCAGCTGGTAGGTTGTAATTATAACCTTTGTGTGTGTTCATGCGGTCCAACTCGGAAAAAACCTGTGAAGAAACATGGGCTGCCACAAAAAAAAGGGTTCCACACACAACCGCAGATATTATGTCAGCAATATTCTGCAAGCTTGTTCGACTCTGTGTGTTGAACCACAAATGTATTTTGATAGATTTAAAGTTATGCAATGCTGAAAACCAAACTTAAGAGTTATTTGAGGGTTATTAAAGTAGTGGTGAAAGTGATGCTACGTACCATATACACATATTATCAAGACAAACAAATCCCAACTCAAGTCCCAACTTAAGACTAATAAATGCCAATTCAGGTCCCAATGCAAGGCCAGTTGGTCCAGAGTCAAGATCAACAAGTTCCAAGTCAAGTCCCAACTTAAGACTTCCAGTCAGGTTTTTCAATTCTGACATGAGGGATCATTATGTAACAGCTTCCTGGCTATTATCAGCACCATTATGCAAATACAGTCTGATTCATGCAAAAACATTACTCTACTGAGCTGCTATTTCCTGCTCATACAGTACCAGTGGTATGCAAGCAGCATCTGATGACTTGCCTTGACAAAGTCAAAAAAGACTTGTAGCTCCACCATGACTCGTGACTTCACTTTGGACTAAAGTAATTTTTTTTCAATCTTCAGCTGTTACTAATCAGTAGTGACAGCTGAAGATAGACAGGAAAGGAGATGACACTTAGCAAAGGGCCACAGATCAGATTTAAACCCTGGGCCGCTGCAGCAAGGACTCAGCATTGGTACACGGGGCAACCAGCTCTACCAGGTAAGATATAGGGCACCCCGAGGACTAAAGTCTTTTGACTTAGAATTACAAAATGGCAATGGATTGCCATACTGTCAGTTGTGATTGGGACTTAATGGATTTGAGTTGGGACTTCAATTGGAATTTGTTGATCTTGACATTAATCCTAATGATATTCAGTTGGGTCTTGAATTGGGACTTGTTGATGTTAACTTGTGACCTATTGGACTGGTTTTGGGACATGGATTGGAATGTATTAGTCTTACATTGTGAATTGACTTTGGATTTGGTTGTCTTGACTGTGGACCTACTGGTCTTGAGTTGGGACTTGACTGAGGATGTATTGGTCTTAACTTTGAACTCGTCTTGGGACCCCATAGCCAAGACTTGAGACTTTTGACTTGCAAAACAATAACTTTTTTCAACCTTAAAGTAAGCTCAACTATACTCAGTGGAGTAAGTGATGTGTGTATTTTGATTATGCACATCAAATAGTTGAATAACCAGAGAAGAAAACATGTCATCAGTGTAGTTTTGTATCTTGTCCAATATGTCATCCGTTAATGAATAAAGCCAGGAGATGAGTCAGGTTTATTGTCACTGAGCCCAACGGTTGCAATAACTCACAAGCCAGACAATAGGAGAAGGTAAACATGACACTCCTGTAGACAGATACAGTGTTTAATGTGTGGGTGGTGTGCCAAAGTGAGAGTGAGATGCAGTTATTCTTGTAATCTTTCTACCTGGTTAAACATCAGAAACAATAATTCCTTGAGTGTATGTGTGTGTGTTTTGGTGTTAACCTCTCCTGGCATATCTGTCCTGCAGGTGGGTACGGCGCGTTACATGGCTCCGGAGGTGCTGGAGGCCCGACTGAATCTGGAGAACATCGAGTCCTTCAAACAGACCGACATTTACTCCATGGCCCTGGTGCTTTGGGAGATGACGTCAAGGTGTGAAGCTATAGGAGGTCAGTGCACACGCACACACACCACAAACACGTAATCAGTAATTACCTATGGTAGACCTTTGGGAAGTGTAATGTGAATACACAAGCACATAATCACACACAGAACTAAACAAACCCTGCTGGGGTGAAGTGTCAACCACTGAGATAACTCCACTTTGACAGCATGTCATGAGTTTTGGGTTGTCACAACAAGCTCAGCAGGCAGGGCCGATTGGCTGCTAGTGATATCATCATGTTCCAGTTTATCAGTCCTCACATGCAGCTGGGAAAGCAGCATGTGAAGGCATGTGTCACATCTGTAATGTAATGTAATCAACATGACTCTATTTCTGTTGATGTTCTTTATTTTGATATTAACTCCATTCACTCCTAGCTGCGTGAAACTCTTCAGGAAACACACCCTAAAGATGATATTCTTTATCTTGATAAAAACAATTTAATCTTTTAGGACTTTATTCTAAAGATTGTATTTAGAAAAATAATTGATATAATTTGAAAGGCCCTATGTGTATATGTTTTATGTGATAGCATATTTCAGATATTCTAATGGAATAGGTTTCTGGAAAAGTGAGATAATCTTTGTTCTTCTTGTAGCTTTAACTAATGTAATGTCATAATTCTTCAACCTGCATTAAAGGTGTGTAACATTTAGGAGGATCTATTGGCAGAAATGGAATGTTTTGCTTTAGTGTATAATCACCTGAATATAGCAATTGTTGTGTTTTTGTTATCTTAGAATGACCATCTTGGCCACCGTAGTTTGTTCTACACACTTCCCAGCCTGTTCTCATTCCCAGGTTGTCAAATACAAACGTGAGCTATGTTCAGTTAGTTGCAATCTGCAGCTTCACCACAAGATGCCAATAAATCCTACACACTTGTCCTTAAATTGCACCTAGGAGCAAGGTGTCATCTTTGACATATCATCACATTATAAAGTTGCTAAATGGCAAATGGCAAGGTTTTTAGAACTGAGTTTGGGGAAGTTATTGGACATAACACCAAAACAATGAGCTGAAAGATGCTATGGGGAACTGCAGAGCTGGTTATAGTTCTCGGTGGTTTCAACACTACAGGTGACATTGTTGACATTAGCATAGTCATTTGACCCATTTTTCATATCAAATAAAAATACTGATTAGTGCAGCTTTAAATAAATATGCAAAACCTTTTTTTTTTTTTTGGTAACACAGATACAGCAAAATAAAGGACACACCTAAGTTACCTTCAAAGTTAACTTAACTCAAGTGAGGAGACATGGTTTTGTTTTATATTTCATCAACAAAACATTCTCTACATCCTTATTATCAAACATGTATTTGATTCTGCATACTGTACTGCAACCTGAGTAAACATACATGTACTAACAGTGTACTGTACGCCTGTGTGTGTATCTGTGACCTACATAGTGCAGACGAGAGGTTCAGGCTACTGTTTCCTGTTATGCAGTGACTGGGGGTTTGTGTGTCAGTGGGGAGTCTGATGGTCGTGTCTGTCAGACTGCACCTCGACCCCAGCTCCAGGTCTGCAGCAGGAATCTGAGGAATGTCTGATATGTGAGGGAGACAATCTGAACTCTACTGTTGCCCTTCTTTGGGCAGGAAATCAGAGAGAGCTGGAGAGGATACTGTACCTGTTTCATCGAGCTGTGTGTGTGTGTGTGTGTGTGTGTGTGTGTGTGTGTGTGTGTGTGTGTGTGTGTGTGTGTGTGAGTGTCTGTGCTCATGAGGCTTGAATGTCCTCACAAGAACAGGCAGATTAAAGTGAGGACATTTTTCATCCCCAGGTTGGAGTGTGTGTATGTCTGTGTATGTGTATGTGAGCAGCTGTAAAGTTTGATTGCTGTCAGTGTCTGAGCCATTTTTCTGTATCTGTGCTCCTCTTCGCACCACTGTCTGTCTGAATGCAGCACACTCAAACACTGGTTTGTATTTCTCTAAGGACCATCAATGACATAATGCATTACCTAACCACTTACCTTAAACTTAATTATTACAACTACATGCCTTACTCCACTGTCACTGTCACAACACTGTGGCTATGTCCTCTGTGGCTATGCAAAAGCAGCCCTTCTAGAAACAAGCCAAATATTCTTGAATATAATAAAATGTTCTTGTATTGAGCAAAACAATTTGCCAGTGTGGTAAGCCAGTTTTGCTTGACTAGAAGTCTAAAAACTAGCATAAAAATCAGACCACTGAAAGACTGTAACAGGCCTTAAAAAACTGACTTTAAATGAAGGCATCAGAAGCATTGTTATTTTAGCATTTTTATTAAAACAGTGAAAAACTAAACAACTGCGTCATTTCCAACACTAGGATAAGACTACTTTCTCTTAAAACTGAGAAGTTGTGCAATTGGTCTTCCTCTTAAAATTTGGAAAATAATCTTAATCTCTCCTGGGATGTTATGTAAAACATTGTTGGAACTTGTTCCTGGTTAAATCAAGCTCAATATTAGCTGTAATATCTTATTAAGACAAAGTTAGATCGATTTTTTTTAAACAAGATTACTCTAATGCAAAACATGTTTGATAATGTTTCTTTTTAGACAAAAAATAAGACTCATTTGCCAGAAACAAGACTTTTTTACTTTCTTGAGATTCCGCTTTTGCAGTGTAAACTGACCTTGCCACTATCGCTTCCAACAAACTTAAATCCAGTTGAACTCTGGGGGTAATGACAATTAATAGTCTGACAAAATGCTGCATAATGTTCAACTTGGAACACTGTTGCAATAAACTTACAACAATGCCTTTCTCCTGTCTCTTCTGCTTTGTGCCTAAGTAAATGCCATATCCCTTCCAGTCGTGGTGCTTTCACTGCCTCGCTTGAGTAACAAGCTGATAGTGTTACAGGGTAGGTGGGTTTCACGAAGTCAGAAAACACATGGACAGTGCATTTCAGGAATGCAACCCGCTGGACTACAGGGGCTCAGTGTGTAAGGACTTTGCTTAGGAACCGGAGAGTTGCCGGTTCAAATCCCACAGACCACAATATGGAGTGTGGACTGGTAGTTGGAGAGGTGCCAGTTTCACCTCCTATGCACTGCAGAGGTGCCCTTGAGCAAGGCACCCCAAGAAATTGCTCATGGGGCGCCGCTAAAGTGGTGAGCCCATCTCTCTCCCTTGATTGCAGATTGAATATTTATATGAAATGCTCTTTATTTTTATTTATATTTCAAGTCTATTGTAATACTATGCTCTCATACATTACTTGCCGTGAATAGATCCTTCCTAATGTGATTCCACTGTAAAATAAGTGCGAACAAAATCTACAGTCCTTGTTCTGTCAAAACTAACAGTAAACCACATGAGTGGATATCTTAGAAAGTTTGTTTTGTACACAAATCCTAAATGCAAATAATCCTATCTAAAGCCCAGGTCTAGGTTAGTCCATTCTGGGCTTCTGTAGAAACATGCTGGCTAAACACACTGAACCCACCCCCTCTGTAAATAAAAACAGCTCATTCTAAGGTAACAAAAACACAACAATTCTTATATCCAGGTGATTATACACTAATGAAAACATACCTATGGATAATATATTCCATTTCTGCCAATATGTCCTAATAAATGGACCTTTAATGATTCCTTGCTGAGCCTCAGCAGAGGTATGCATCCTCGTAGTCGCATTTAAGTTTGTTTTGGGGACAACACACCTACAACTTACATATGAATGCCAGGACAAAGATCCCCACTTGAATTTAGACTGCTAAAGCCTCATAAGCTTAAGGCGAACTTTGGAATACATTTTTGCACAGAAAGGACTGTGAATATTGATGCTGCTGTCACAATTTTAGTGTTCCCGCTACGAAGTGATTGTTTAACAGTCAGTATGGAGAGGAGGAATGTAGCAACTGTAGCAACCAATAACTCATTAACATATTATTAACATAATCTTGAAAACTCTCAACCGTCAAACAAACATTTTGACTAGACAAAATGTCCTTGTTTTCCCAAAACATCATCAGTCTCAGTGCTTAAGACTTGCATAGATAGAAGTCCACACACACTCACTTTTCTGCTTCCTCTGACCTATTCTCCTGGGAGTAGAGATGGAGTCTCTCATGGTCCACCTCCTTCCCTCCGCCTAGTTGGCTTTTCTAGACAGCCTGAGACATTTAGAACTAGACAGTCACATTCCAACGTGTGTGTGTTTGTCTGTGTGTGTTTATTTCAGAGAGAGAGAGGTGTATAGAAACAGGAAGAGAAATGGAGGTACTAGACAGATGCCCTCATCTATCCCTGTGTCTATGTCTCAATCTAGGATTGTGTGTGTGTCCTCTGTCTCCACCCCAACAACAGCGGGCAGAATAGTGAATAGAAATACAATCCCCCGCGCTGGCATTGTTTTTGTGGTCAGTTATAGTACGTTCCCTGTGTGTTGCCGAGCATTTTATTTACATATCCTGAATTAGCCTGCAGGGCGCGGCAGGGCTCGCATGTTCTGTCTGAGCTGAGGGTTATGCAGGGTAATGGAGCGGGGAGAAGACTTTGCACTGTGCCAAGCAAAAGGCTTGTGGTCTGTGAAGGGAGACAGCCTTTGGCAACAGCTGGTGAGGGGGTGATGGTTATACCCCGCAGGGGCAAAGGAACAGAGCTTGATTTTTGAGAAATACACTCATTCGCTTTCTTGCAGAGAAATAAATGAGAAGGTAGATAGCAGGCTCATGTCTGTGTTAAGTCTGGAGCTGAAGCCAGGAGGAAATTGACCGTTCCTAAGTCCCACCCCTTTTTGCTCCATGCTCCAATAACAGTTGAGCAAGCCTCGGCCACAACCTCGGTCAGCTGTTTAGCTTTCCTGTACTTAGATAGGCTATGTGCTAGGCTAATCTAGACAACCACATTTTGAGCATCGTCTACAGATAGTCACATCTTAGTTAGCCAATGTTAATGTTAGCAAAACATTAGCTAAATAACAACTGATGTAAATTAGCTAGCTAGTTAGCTAGAGTTTTAGTAACATTAGCTAACAACTGATGTAGATTAGTTAGTAGTAGTGCAGACATTGCAAGCAGTTAAAGCATGACAACATATGATCTGAGCAGATGATAACAGAACTGTGAAAAAGACACAATAGATGAGTCTGACAAACAGGAAACCAATGAAAAGAAAACATGGCGATAATGTGCACGATAACTGATTGATTGTCACTGACGTCAGTCGTGCTGCCATGAACTGATATTACTGAAACTAGATTCACCTGCTTCACCAAGCTCTCATCTGCTGCAAGCAATTCAACCAACCACTTTCTCTGGAAGTGGGCAGACGCTTCTTTGGAAGCGTGGTTTGTTAGAGTTTATGCAGGTTCGATCATTTCTACTTCTTATAATGTAGTTTGTACTGCCTCAGTTCGGGATCAGTCTCATGTGTTACGCCTGTTGAGAGACTACGGTCTGTTTAAAAGCCAAACATGGAGCTGTGTTTCTTTCAAGATAGCAGCAGATCCCAGACAGTGTAGCCAGCCGCCGAGGTTTCTGCTAACCTCCAGGCCACAAAGGTTTCAGACAGATAATCTGAAAAGGAAACTGTCGTAAACCACTTTCCGCCCCTTAGATTGGATATAGCAGGGCTTTAACTACGGGCCCCAGACAGCGAGGGGAAAGTGAGACTGAGGCTCTGGTTGCAGTCTCTTGTGAAATCTCTTCTCAAACCACGGGTGAAATTCTTCTCATAGCTTACAAATGTCCAGAGCTGCAGCAGGGAAGCAGGCCACGCTTATCATATAGACTGAAGCGGTAGTATCTGTGTGTGTGTCTACTTCTCTATTGTCCCAGCTAATCATTCAGAAACATGAGGACAGGTGTAAAGGAGCCAAATCAACATCAGAGCGTGAAATGAGTCCTCTCCCGCTCAGTCATGTCTTGATGTTTAGAAAGCGCTCCACCTCTTTTTTATTTCTGTGTTCAACTTTCTCATTTTAGGTCAGCTTGCTTTCTGCTGCTCTGTGCTTCAGCTGTATCCAGTCCAGGAAAATGTGTGGTATTTATACCAGCTCCGCAGCAGGAGATCTAAACAGCAGAGAGCTGAGGACAATACCAGCCCTGGCATAAATAACCTCCAGGGGAATGGGCCGGGCCTGGCTGGGTTCTGTTTTAAAATGCTAAAAACGGGGGAAGTTCCACATGTCAAAAACAGGAAGTGTGAGCCTGTAGAGTCAGCTTCTCTGCACACAGTCCCAATCCCAGCCCTCCAACTTCCTGTCCGGGGGTTCCACTCCAACCTTCCCACTTCCTGTGTTTGAGGACACAGCAGCAGAGACCACAGGGGCCTGACTTAAATTGAGACTACTGCAGCTTTTCCTAGATTTCACCAGCAGTTTAGGGCATTTTGAAGACTGCTGAGAAAATTATCTCACCACAATGTCTGTTTAGTAGCTGCTTTGGAGTTTTTGACCATATCACATGATCCTCATCAGCAGGTGGAGTTTGCCCAGTTAGTCTGCATAGTCAGCAAATTTAGTATATAAAGGTCCCCCCTCCAGTCAGAAACCAGTGTTTCTTCTTGTTCCTACAGTGTGCTGTTTGAATGCTGTCTGTGCAGTGTTTGACTCTAGAAGGATGTTTTCACATTCATCTGCTGAAAGTGGAAAGTTTCTCTGTGCTCATTGAACATCTGATTTTAAGGGGAGGGGCCTACCAGCAGGATTTGTGACATCAAAAATAGTTAGGAAGTCAGTCCTGGTCCAGTATGCAACTTATACAGTGTGATGTAGAAACTTGAAGCCACCAGTGCACATCCACTGAGAATGGACTTTACAGTGAAGTAGGAGACATCTTGTGTCCAGCAGGAAACCTTTAGAAATGTACAACATTTGCATATTCACAGATTCTGGAAGTTTTAATGAACTTATGAACCTTTAATGAACCAATTTTAATGGAGGAGAAAAAACACATATCAGACACACATTATTGTTCTAAGCAGACTATTTCTACATACATGTCTGGAGGGGATCTTTAAGCTAATCTCACTTACTCAGAAATCATCATTTATGCAGTGGACTACAGGTCCGTTCAACTTGAGGAGCAATCTATAGCTTTACAAACCTGCTGTGCCTAATTGTGGTTGCTAAGCTATGATTGAACAGTTGCTGTTTCAGTTTCATTACAACTTGCCAATATCCATCTGCTGATGAAGACCATGTGATATGGCTAAAAGCTCCAGAACAGCAACTTCATTGACCATGTGGTTAGATTATTTCTGTCTCCAAGGTCAAGAATGAATTTGGCACCTCGGATTTGACAGATTTGATTGGAAGAAAATCTTTTAGTCGTAGATGTATGTGTGAGAACACAGTTGGAAGGACCAGAACACTTGTTGTGTTTTACGAAGGGTGGACTTGGTGCTCCAGTCATGATTCACCTTGACTGAAGAAAGAAGAAAAGCTCAGATGCTGCCAAATGTAACACACCTAAGAGTACACATAGGTGAATAATACTCTGTGTTTGACACGCTGTGAAATACAGGATTTAGAGCGTGAGGCTTGTACTATTTGTTAAATACATGTCATTTTCTGGCTCAGATGGGTAGAGGATGATGACTTTGCAGCAACTAGTGTCTCATTTCACAGCAACTGTGAGATCCTGAGAGCCTTCTCTTTGGGGCTGAAGACAGACTGCAGCTGTTGTGAGTTCAGTTTCATGAGGTCTGGACCCAATCCCGGAACTTTGTTTTTAATTTTTCATGGTTTCGGCGTTACGCTCTCTCTTTTTCCCGGCTAGTTCTTCAACATGAAACAGTAAAGAAAAAAGATTTAAATGACAGATTGTGATTTTGGTGTTCTGGACGGGCGCCGCTAATTGCTTGTTAGCGGAAGCTGATTTGTTGTTTTTAGAAACAATCATTGTTCAAGTGCCAGAGCCAGCATTTACCCTCCCATGTAGACATCATAAAAGACATTTTATTTCCTACTGTCAGCATTATTGGTGCCAGTGTACAAAGCTGACAGCTCGGGGGAAACTAACAGCTCGGTGGTTTGGTGTGGAATGACCTCATATCAGGATACTTTTACACTTAACCACATTAACTCATCATGCCACCTGTTTCACTCCGTCTTCCCCTTTTACTTTTTTTTGTACCTTAGTAATTTCCCGGTATCATTAACCATTCTATGAAATGTGCACTTGTCTTGTGTTCATGTTGACTCATCTACATCTTGCAAATGACAGGAACTCAATGGCACAGACAACCTGACATACTGTAAAGACCACACGTTTTCTGCACTTGAGACTCGGGTGATGATTTGCAGTCCATATCTGATCCACGGGTCTTGTTTTTGTTTGCAGAGGTGAAGGACTACGAGCCTGCGTATGGCTCTAAAGTGCGAGAGCACCCCTGTGTGGAGAGCATGAAGGACAACGTGCTGAGAGACAGAGGGAGACCTGAGATCTCCGACAGTTGGCTCCAGCATCAGGTCAGATATACACAATGTACACACAGACACTATCTGTAGCAAGGTTATATATTCTGTAGGGTTTATTTTTATATAAACAAAGCACACAAGTCAACATCATTATAAATGGTGTTAATAATGCTAGTGTTAGCCAAAAGGCTCAATTTAAACTTTTGTTGGAAGTCAGTCACAGTTTTGGTCATTAATTTGAATGGCCAGGATCATTTAAAGCTTATTTAATAGTTATTAACAACATTTTATGCAAATGGTATAACTTTTTAGGGGATAAAACTGATAAAAAAACAAGCCAAAACCTCTTCCCTGCCACAAATACCAGTGCACATGTGTAAATCCCAGTAAAAAAAGGAGAAAGTCGTAAGTTTAAACATTTTAATGAACTAATGGTTTTTATTAAGCCAGATGTTAGATGCTGCAGACCCCTCAGCACCCCTGCTTCCAGCGCCAGTGGTTCAGACTGCACAAATACAGACACAGAATATGATATATTAAAAAAAAAAAGTAGTAGCCTCATTATGGTTTCCAGCCTAGGGGTCAGGACCCCTCCAAAGAGCCACGAGATGAATCAGCATAAGATGATTAATGAGTTCTGCTGTACACATTTATCTTCATTCTTTGCTCTTTTATCAAATCTTTGCTTTTTTCTAAGGAGTCACAAGCTAAAAAGACTGGAGACCAATTGTTTAATCTCTAACAATGTGTTGTTTTTTATTTTATCTAAATCTTGTCTGCAAAGTAACTACTTGTTAAAGTTGTAAGCAAAATGTAGTCCAGTAAAAAGTACAATGTTACCCTCTGAAATGTATATATGTAATGTATTAAGTATAAAGTAGCATAAAATGGAAATATGTGTATGAAGTACAAGTAAGTCAAAATTGTAGGGAGTCATGTATTAAAGGGAAACATATGGTGAAATGTCAAAAAAACACACTATTTATAGAACCATGACCACTGAAATTCTTATTATACTGCCAAGTTGTGTTAACGGTTAGTCGATTAATCGAATAGTTGTGGACTATTAAATTAGTTATTATTATTAATCGACTATTTTGATAATGGATCGTTTTGAGTCATTTTTTAAAGAAAAAGAAATTCTCTGTTTTTAGCTTCTCAGATTTGAATATTTTCTGGTTTCTTCGATTAATCAAGGAAATGATTGACAGATTAACTGATAATTTAAATAACTGTTAGTTGCAGCCTATGTATAACATAACTATGTGTGAACAAATGTGTTACATTACAACTATATGGTTATTGTTACATTGCAATATAATAACTTGAGGTCCGTTGAGAAGCTGCTACCTTTACCCAAACAGTTCAAGGGGTTTCATTCAGTGTGGAGTCTCACATCCCTGCTCTCTTCCTCCCCCTACAGGGTGTGGCGGTGATCTGCGCCACCATCATGGAATGCTGGGACCACGACCCCGAGGCCCGGCTCACCGCCCACTGCGTCGCCGAACGCATCAACGAGTTGGAGGACGAGATGGACAAACTGTCCAGCCGCAGCTCCTCGGCAGAAAAGATCCCAGAGGAGCTGAAGATCCCAATAGAGGTGGAGATCCCGGAGGAGATGGTTAAAATCACGGAGATACAGGATATCATAGCCGTGGACTGCTCCGTGAGCGACGAGAAGTGAGAGGGAGCTCCTCTGGGACTCTGAGGGAGATTTTTCAACAAGGGCACTTATTCGACTTTGATGGGATTGAAGAGAGTCAGGAGTTGAGCTCCTGCATCCACCCAGGACTTTGAGTTGAGTCACAGTGTCATATGTTATTCTAGCAAAGAGGGACTCTGGGTGATGCTTTAGTACTTCACCGTTTGTAAAATGTAACAAGTTGCCTTAATCAGCTGAAAAGCTAAAGAGCCAAAAAGCCAAAGTTAACTGGAAGCTTCCAAAGATGTGTTGAGCATGGAGACAGTAGTCAGACAGGCTTCTCTCGCTTTATGAGAAATAATCAGGGCAATAACTATTAAACCAAAGACATTTGATGTGCACTTTACCATGTAATACTTTTGCATTACACATGTTTGTCATTTTCATATGTTCATGTATTCTAACATGTTGGAGTTAAGGGGAGTTTTTGCCTGAAAGTGCCTTTGTGTGTCCAACTTTGAGCCAGCAGAGATGTCGCCCTAACACTAATGATGCTGTGCACTCCATCCTCAACAGCAGGAATCCCAATGAATGTATGTGTGTGTGTGTGTGTGTGTGTGTGTGTGTGTGTGTGTGTGTGTGTGTGACTGAGAGTGTCTGTACTCGTGTGTGTGTGTGTGTGTGTGTGTGTGTGTCTGTGTAACCGTGTTGTTTTCACCCAGCTATACTTAAACCTTGTTTGCCAGATAAACAAGCACAATGTACATAAGAGACAATAGCTGTACATAAGAGATAAATCAGCCAAAAAGGGACAGTAATCCTACTACTTATCTTTGAATGCAGAGAATAAAAGACTTCATAGAGATGTATTTTTTAAAGCGTTTTGTATGTTTTCTGTCTATATCAACAGGAAACTGAGGAGTGTGCCAAAGATCTTTTACCCTGCCTTACACACAGTATGTGTCATATGTAAAATATTGTAAATCTTTTATGAATTAAAGATATTTCTGTATACTGAGATTCTGTTCTTACTCTTTCTGTTATCCAAACAAATCTGGGAGCAAGATAATGATACTGCAGACTGTGTACATCTGTTGTACATTTTCTTTCTCATTCAGTACTCTTTTTATTTTGAAACAAGGCAGTGAAAACACGCATACTTTTGTCCACAGGGGCCGCCAGAATCAACACAAAGTTCCTCGTAGTGGCTTTAAGTAGTTTCTCTCTCCCACGTTCCTTTGTGCGTCATTTAATTTTTCAAGGTCTCATTAAGAAGTAAGAAGACATTGGGTTACTTGGTTGCAGCAGAATAATATTGACAATTAGAATCATGCTTCTGTTGACCTTAAAATGTAAATTCTATATTCACTCTACTTTTAGCTCGGTTTTTGGTCTCCACCAACCCCTGAGAACAATATCTGGCTCTTTAACTGCTAGATGCTCCACTTTGTTCACCAGCTAACTGTTTCTGTCTGCTGTATGGTCCATGGCAGGTAGTGTACAGTGAATTTTTTTAGAGCTCTTTGCTGAAAACAGCTGCCTTCTGCTGCTGGAAACAAGGCTGGTGGGCTGGAAAACAAAAAAAATTATCTAAAAGATGGTAAAAAAATGATAATTCTCTGTGGGTTTGTCACTACAAGCGACTCCTTTCAAAGACATTTTCTTTCCATTGTTCATATGAACATATTGATTAGTGCAGCTGTAAGACAGATCTGGAGGTCTTTAAAGTTGTGTCATACAGAGATGAGTGTGCACTTTCTGAGACATATTTTGAAATATCTGAACAATAAATCATCGTTCATGATTAACAGCAGGTATCATTCAGAGCATGTTTATTTAGCATACTATTTGCAGCTGTTGCTTTCTTGTAAGTACATGTAATGGGATGCTACACAGCTCATCTTCACAATAGTCATGGCTGACAGCGACAGCACTGATTTGGGTTGCACTCACTTTCCATGCGTCATAATTGTTAATGAGTCTTACAGTTATTGCCTCTGGAGATATTCAAAATTCCACACAACTAAAATCAGCTTTTCAAAACATTAGATTGTTTTTACACAACAATATAATACTGAGGAAATGTAAGATTATTTGTGTCTGATTGGCCATTCCTGCTCAGAGCGTGCTGTAATTAGTCATGTGATCACTTGAAAACTGCTATTAAGGGTTACTCTTGCGCTTTGCTATAAGTAGGAGTAAACCATTAATGTTCAGTTCTGCACTTTTACCAAAGAGATTTTTACATTTAAGTTGTTTCAGCAGTTTCACTGTAAGTGTCATTCTTAGATGGTAATAAGACTTGGTCTTATCATGCATTGTCCGGTTCTTCTGTATTCATCTGTCTTGCATTATTTTTGTCCCATTTTGCTCACTCCTCAGCTCATTTTACCTCTCCCTCTATATTCATATGCTGTTTCAGCCTTGCCTCCCTCCTTTTCTAAGCCGCTGTTCTCTTTGTCTTCATCTCACTCCATCAAGTTTTTCTGCTGTTCCTACCTCATTCTTCTTGTCCTCTATAGGAATGCCATAAGAAGCGTACCACCCCAGCCTGTTGTCCACATACTAGAAATGATGCCACAATCAGTCACTGGTTAGAAATAACATTTTATTTTAAAACACTGTGTGGTTTGAGGTCAGGGTGAAGAAGGAGTGCTACAAGAAGTAACAGATTACAGCTGTCTAATAAAAATCTCCAGATGTGGTCTTTTTCATATTTTTACTCATGTGGAAGCATTACTTGATAGGCTGAGACACTTTTTTTATCCTGGGTTTATGATACCCCTTTCAGACCCTGTGGAGTTATTACATGGCCATGTAGCCCAAAACCGAGCTTTCAGATCTGAAATAGTACGATTTGGGGTTTTGGTGGAACGCCACATGTATAATAATTCAACTAAAGTCATATACAAGTACAAAACATGTCACTCCACTTAAATACTATACTCTCAATGTCACCTTGGCTTATGTTTCATTCAAATACATTTTAAAGCTGCAAATTCCCATATTAGAGGTGAAAGGTGAAAAATCTAAACTTCAGATTATAGAGAGGATGTCAGTTATGTTACAGTTTTTCTCAATTGTTTACACACAAATACTGGTACTTGAGACCCAATGACCACAACATATAACTCATGCACCAACCCCCTGAACCAATTCTGCTAAACTACAAGCACAATTCCTGCTTTACACTCAAATTGCAGTTCTAGAACACACTTTTTTCAAAACACTACACACAATTCTCTGCATTTGGCACAATTTTCATGAAGAAAATATCTTGTTTTCACAAGGGACACACTGTCATTCAAAATTGCACACTGACTCATCACATGGGCAAACACCTGTCACACAGTTTTACAATTAGCAATCAGAGCTTTAGCATAAAAGGGCAACAGGTTAGGTTCAGATATAGCAGTTGATGCTTTTCATGGCTGGAATCACCATGCTAGGCGATATTTCCCCCGCTGCTTGGCCAGGGAAAACATTGCTTGTGATGTAGATGAGGTGCTGTGGCCAGACCAAAACAGAAGAGAGAATGCAGCATAGTTTTTGTTTTGTTTTTTACTGTAACTGTATACAGTAAATTCTTCTGTTGTTTTGTATGTAGACCTCTGTCTGTGCAACTTTGTGTTGGTTGGGATGTACACTGTGTACATTGTTTTTGTGGGAAAAATGAAATATATTTGTTACCGTGTATTTAAGGCCTAAGTCGTTATGATGAATGGAGAAGTAGTGTTTTCCATTCATCATAGTGTTTTACATTGAGCACATCAGTGTTCAACTGGTTCTTATAAATGTCTATTCATATAATGGTTTGTATGTGTCATTTGAAAACAAAATACCATTTTGAGAAGAAATAACATTGTTTTGAATGTAAAGTTTCATTTTGCAGGAGAATTGAGGGGTTTTGCCCATTGTGTGTGTGTTTTTTGATTTGTGTGTAGAGTTCTGAGAGTATGAGGCATGCTTTCAGAAAATGTGTGTAAACAGTCGAGAAAAACCAGAGCTGTTTGTAGAGCCCCTGCCCATCCGGTACGCAGACACAGGTGACTTTAGCTATTTTTTTATTCCCTGATCAAACTCTTCTCAGGACTGTGTAGACTGGGCTTTACTGAAAACTCTCCAAAGTTTATTAAACTCAAATAATTTCCAACATAGCTCACCTTATGTTTTATTTTTGCCTGTAGATCCTCCTAAATGTTACACACTGGACCTTTCAATAGTCAGAAATGGAATATAATATTCATAGGTATATTTTCATTAGTGTATATTCCAATCAAAGTTACATCTTTGATTTTAGGATTCTTTTCAAGGAAGAATGTACATCTATACTGCAGGTCCTACTGAACCAGAACCTAAAACATACAGCATCAGTGAAAAGGCCTGCAGGGAGTAGAGTGCTGAGGATCAATTGAGCGGACTAACCTTTTTATTGAGAGTGTGTTGAGTTGCGTGGAAATGTTTGTAGTGGAATGAGTAGTGAGTCAGACAGAGTGTGTGTGTGTGTGTGTGTGTGCGTGCGTGCGTGCGTGCGTGCGTGCGTGCGTGCGTGTGTGTGTGTGTGTGCATGTGTGCATGTGGTGCAGACATTCCTCTGAAAACCAGAGTTTGTACCAGAGAAATGTAATGACAGGTCTGCAGGGCCCGTGAACCAGCTCTGGTATAGGGAGCAGAGGGTACCACATCACATGGTCTCTCTCTCTCACTCTCACTCACACACACACACACACACACACACACACACGTTGCCCTTCTCTCTTTCCTCTCCCGTTCTCCTCCCTCTCTCTGGCTCTCTCTTGTTCTTTCCATCTTAAAGCCCCAGTTCTCTTCCTCATGGCAGTCTTTTGTTGGTGTATTCCTGGCATCACTGACTCTCCTCAGGGGCAAACATCCTGTGTCCAGAATTAACTCTTGGCCTCTTTTCCATTCTTTTATAGGCCTCAGCAGCGCTGCACTGTTTTGTATATATTCCAGAGGCCTCTCCCTGCCTGCTCTCTGTGTAGGAATCACCAGTGTGGATCAGTCTGCCTCCCACATTCACTGTTTTTGCAGATTATTTCCAAGTGTGATGCACCTGCCCGGCGCAGACAGTGGATGTGGGATTACAGCTTCATTTTTCCACCCGGTGTTTAACAAATGTAACACCAGGAACCAAAATAATGTGGGCAGATCTGACTTAGATTTTTATGTCTCCCTTCAGGGTGTAATCATTGAAACAATTACTGCTGTGGTATTATTTTACTGCAGTCTGCAGGGAAACAAATGTTCTCAATTCTTAAATGACTTCCAATAGTTTTCCAGTACTTCATGACTGCTGTGTTGAGGGAAAGAACACATATGCCCTCTAGTGGACAAAACACAGCCAACAATCAGCCTTTGATTAATGTTTTTCTTTACAGCACACATTGATTTTCAATGAAAATACTGCTGCTGTGTTTCAGTCTGTAAATACTGTTGAAAATGAGCCTTACACCTGTGGTTTGACATCTTAAATGTATTCACAGTAAGACTTAATGCTAAAGATTTTTTGCAACCTATAGAGATATCCAATATCCAGCTTCAGTCTACAGCAATCTGAAACATTGGCAAGTGGTTATGTTTGGATACTAATTACTTTTCAATATTCCAAAATGTCCTTGCAGCCTGATAGGTAAGATCTGTACATAGATTGCTTATCCTTTAATAATTTCACATAATATTACTGTATACGTGTAATGCAATTTCCTTACATGCCTGAGTGCCTGAAAAAAATGTCTGATAATTAAAATGTGAAACTAACATAGTATTTACATATACATGATATATGCACTATATTGCCAGATGTTTGTGGACATCTGAACACAATATGTGAATACTTAATCATTACTATTGATCTACACTTATGTGGGATTTTTTATCATGTCATTCCAAAACCATAAAGTTAGTGGCTAATGTTACTCCACTTTTCAAATTTGGTAAAAGAGAGTAAAGGTTTTCTTCCTAAAACACAAGTAAAGATTTTACAATCATCCAACCAGAAAAATCCTTGATGACGTTTAAATCATCATATAATGAGCAAGAAAACCTAAAATGGACTTCAATCTCACCTAAATCACATAACAGACCAAGCCTTTTGTCTTCCAGGTGATCATTACACTTGCCTGTTTCTATAGCTAATGGTAATACACAGGAACGTACTTGTGTGCAAAGAGATGTTCTGCTTCATGTAAGTGGTGTTTGTAATTTAGGTTTGTACCAAATATTTGTCCCAAACTTTCCTTGTAAATAAGAAATCATTTGTGCTGAGATTCATGAATTGTATGCTGCGATTTGTTTTGTAAATTATAAAACAAATAAATCATAAAAAGTAAAGATTTCACTTCTTTAGTCCAGAGAAGTGCCCGAAAGGTGCCTGAAGGTATGATTCTACTGAGCTGCTGTTCAGATTCAGATCATTTCACGTCTGAGATTTAGAGGTTTACATTCCATAACACCAGCGAGGGCCAAAACTGATGTAAACGTATGAACTCCCAGAAATAACTGAGTAGCTCTGTAATGACCTATCCACTGAATTATCTAAAACACCAATACCCTCTTTAAAAGACAGATGCTGAGACAAAGTGCAGCCCAAATGTATGACAGCACTGTGACTTCTTGCAATTAATACTATTTGTGCTTTGTCATGGTTTGCTACCAGTGTCGGCTTCCAGCCACATTAACACCTTTTTCATAGTAATATTATATCATCCTGCACTTACAGGATTTATTTTGTGAATAATAATCCAGAAGGTGGTGCTATAACAGCCTCCACTCCTCTGGGAAGACTTTCCACAATATTTTAGAACCTGGCTGCAGGAATTTGCTCCCATACAGCCACAAGAGTGTTAGTGAGTGGTAGCAGGGGTCCACATACATTTGCTCTACAGTATATAATGTATTTCTATGGATTCAACGTGGAAGCGAATCGTAACCAAAATTTAAATTTAAATGCATTTGCAAAAATGCTTTTTCATTTTAAGAATGTGGCTGCATTATTTGACTCATAAATAAAATTAATAATCATCATCCTTTTTGCATTTTAATTTTCTTCTTCAAGACTGCTCATTATTTTACTTAATTAAAATGAAAAAGAAAAAGACATTTGAGATTTAATTTTCAAAATATGCCCCAGCAAATAGATACCAAAATTAAATTTGAAATGTAAAATTTGAAAATTAAAATGCATTTGCAGAAATGTTTTTTCATTTTAAGAATGTGGCTGCATTATCTGACTCATAAATAAAATAAGAAATCATCATCCTATTTGCATTTTCTTCTTAACTGCACATTTTATGCCATCATCAAAAAGAAAACAAAGAGGAGATTGCTATTTCGTTTTCGTGGTCTGCCCCGCAAAATAGTGCCCATAATTCGAAAAGGATTTGGCAATCTGAGTGGCGCAGGAGAGTGACGTCAGTAGCCGCTCTTCTTCAGCTCCGGTAGAGGGCGGTGTGCACATTTGATATATGGACGCATGGAATTCAAAATCTGGAGGTAAACAAAAAAGTAAAAGTGTTAGATTTTGGGAGTTTATTCTCAACATTTAACTACAGCTTGTGTTCAGAGTAACTCTTTGGCGGTGTGATATTTGGGTGTTCATTCACTGGGTGTTGAGGAGCCTGTATGGGCTGATTTTTGTGTCAGTAGAAACTGATTTTTAATTGCTCAACTTGAATAATTGCATTAAAAAACTGAATTTGAATTGCATAATTTGAATTTGTATTGTTAAACTTGATTAACTGTATTGAAAAATTGAATCTGAATAGGATAATTTGAATTTGAATTTATTAGTTTGAAACTGAATTTGAGCCTCACTAAAAATTCAACTTTTTATGTACTTTCAAATTCAGTTCTCTAAATTCAATTTCAGTTCGCTCAATTCAAATTCAGCTCCACATTCTTAAAATGAAAAAGCATTTCTGCAAATGTATTTAAATTTAAATTTGGGTCACGATTCACTTCCGTATATAAGGGTCTTCTAAACCCGGTAAAAAATCAGTTTCTGGCCAGTTATCAGGCCAAGTTTGTCTTTCTTTCAAGCTTTCCTCATTTTCAGTGGCGAGCGCAGCCCCCCTCTCCTCTTTCCACAGCCTCTCATGCTCCCCCTTGAGCTCTGTGTAGGTGTGATGGAACATGTGGAAGATAGATGTAGAAGGGAAAGACAGAATGAGGATCCCTGATAAGATGCTGATCAGGGCTACCAGTTGGCCTGGGATGCTGTAGGGCACCATGTCGCCGTACCCCACCGTGGTCACCGAGATGATGGACCACCAGCACGACGCTGGGATGCTGCTGAAGCTGAGCTGGGGGGTTCTGGCGGCATTCGGAGCCAGCTCACTCTCAGCGAGATGTACCAGTGGGGAGAAGACAGTCATAGCGACACACATGAAGAGCAGCACCAGGCTGAAGTCTGTCATACTCCGCAGGATAGTCATCCCCAAAGTCTGCAGACCCAGAGAGTGGCGGGCCAGCCTCATCACATACAGGATACGCAGGGCCCTCATTACACGCAGGGTTAGACCCAGTTTATCTATGGTGCTCTTTCCAGCACCAGCCACAATATCCTGTACAGACTCATCCCCAAGCTCCAGAAACAGTGAGACATAGTAAGGCAAGACTGCAGCAGCATCTATGATGTTCAGAGGACTACGGGTGAACTCCAGCTTGCTCTGTGCGTGGAAAAATCGCACCATAAACTCTAATGTGAACCAAGCTACACAAACAGACTCCACCACAAACATGTTGCGGCACTTTTGGGAGCATTTACCCTGTGGAGACAACAAAAGACAAAAGTACTGATTAAGTTTTGCAGGTGAAGTTTCAGTAAAAAGGTCTACCTATATTGCCAAAGTTCCCTTCTAATGGTTTTGCATATTTCAGCCCCTTAATTCTCCTTTTAGGTCTTGTTAGTAGGTATGAAAATTAACTTGTGCCTTAGTTGACATACTCTGGAGAAAACATTACAATGAATAATTTATAACCTTTGTTTTTTCAAAGTTCTGTTATGTGTTGGGATGAATTTGCAAGCAGAGGCAATTTTTTCTTTTAAATTTGTGTATTGTGAGTTCCTAAGCACTCCTTTAATCTCAACACAATGTCCATGGTTGGTTACTGGTTGTCATCTTTATTTAATATGTTGACAGCATAGGTGCACGGTTGACAGGACTGTCACTTTTTATCTGAAATTTAAACTACCGTTAGACCATTAGCTTGAATTCAAGGCCATGCTTTGTACTCCAGTGGGGGGCATTCCACAAATATTCATCTGACCCACTGCATGCCCTGTTGCGTGGGCAGTCAGCTAAACTAACAAAAAAACAAGAAAACTTGCAAATCATGACACCAAACCATCTTATAAGTAATGTATGACCCCATCAATGAAAAAACTGTGGATAAAAGTAACCCAGCACATGTAAAATGCAACTGCGCTCTTAACAAACAGTAACGTTTGCTTGTCACAGCAATAGAAGTACCACAAATGAAAGGAACATAGTTTAGGATTAGGCTATTTGCTGCATTCAAATCAGTTTGAACAAATTACACGCTGAATTCAAACTATATTTTTTTGAGAAAGTGCTAGTAAGCGTAGTTGCTGCTAAAACTGCAATACTTTGCGATAACAACATAGCTACATTTTTTTTACTGATAGGTTGCCTATCTCAAGCGTGTTTCAAGTCTGCAACATGATTTTATTAAAACAAATGGAAACCACTGCCAAAGTGGAGGTAAGGAAATACATCTAAAAAGCCAACATAGCTCGTCAACAGCATACATGTAGTTGCAGACTCTTTCCAAACTTGTAGGCTGATGAATTAGAATAAATTATAAACCCAGGTGTATTTGGGCTGGCTCTATGGGTTGACAATGGCCAAAACAAACAATTCCTAGTCTCACATTTTCCTTGTCTTGGCTTATTTACCTTGCCATGGACTAACCCTCCTGTCACTTTCAATCCTGTCTTTCACCTGACCCCCACCCATGTGCCGACCGGTTCCCACTTCCACTCATTCCCTGCCAGATTGTCTGTTGGGCTTCTGCTTCTGTTTTAGTGTTCTAGCTATTCTCTCTGCCTGCCTGAGTTTTGGCTGTTATTAACCCATGTCTGCCTTTTGGACTCCTGCTCTCTTTGCCTCATCTCCCCTTCCTGTCTTGATTTCAAGAAGCACTAGTTGATGCTCACTGAAATTAAATCTTGAAAGCACAGGTTAAATGATGTAATCAGTGGTGTGATCACAGTTGTGCACCTTTCAGGTCAAGAGACTAACATGATATGGGTATCCAGTGGCATTGCTTTACTAATTCCCTGTAGTCTTGTCTGTGAGGCTTTTTAGATCAAGGAGGTCTTGTGAAATTGAAAAATTGACTCCATGCAACAAAACACATCACACGCAATTGAAAACAAGCATTGCTTTGGTTAATACATACTGTGGCTTCTTCCTGTTCATCTGGCATTGTGCTGATGCAAAGGCTGACTACAGTAACCACCACCATGATGACAGACAGGAAGGCAAACACTTTCCCTGCTAAACCTGAATGAGGGTTCTCCACTGTTTCTCCCATTATGTGGAACAGGCTGCCCTCTACCATAGGGGCCCTCAGCGCCCTCCTTCTCTCCCGCCACTCGTCCTCCTTGCGCTGGTGCTTGGCCACCTCCTTCACAGATGAAATCATTTCATGGCGGCAGCAGGGCTCCATCAGCCCTACATCAATGCCCCAGTACAGCAGCTCACCATGCTGGGCCACACTGCAGACCTCCTGCAGCAGACGCAACTTCCCTTTTGCCAGGAAGTTGAGGATGGCCCGAAAGGCTAAAGGGTCACGGTCAAAGAAGAATTCATGTTGCATCTCATCATAGTCGTCACAAAACTCTGCTATCTCCCTCAGGGTAGTGCAGGAGCGCAGACGAGTCAGGCGGCACTGGGGGACATCCTCCAGGGTGCTCCAGGGGAAGGTGTACCGGATGCCGCCCACATTGATGAGAGCCTGCTGGGTGGGATCGATGTACCTGCGTGATGCCTCTGGCCCACGGAGCAGCTGAGCATGTTGGAAGTACAAACCTTTGACTGCGGTGACCTCTGTGTCCAGGAAGAAGTGGCTGTTACTGTCTTCACTACTTAAGGACTGGTCATCAAAGCCACTACCAATGAATGCCATGGTGGTAGGCTGGTGGTTGGTAGGATTGAACTGTAGTTACAGTATTGTCTTCTTGGAGATTTGAAGAAAACCTGAAATTATGGAATACATTGGTAATTCAAGGTTCTATCTGATGTTGGATTTATATAACAATTATATATACTAATGCAATACATAAAATAAGCTTAAAGGTTTTAGTAAACTATTTTTACCTCAAAAACTGGCACTAATTAGTCATTGTCTGAGAATACAATTTAAAGATCCTCACACTCCTTAAACTCAAAATTCATCTTAACAATTCTCTTTTTTGCTTTTGTTTTGTTGTTCAGTTAATAACAGTTTAAAATATAATATTTGGAGAGTTACAGTATCATTTATAATAAATGCCATATCACCAGAATACAGGGCAGCTTCTCTCAGGCAGTGAGGCTGTTGAATTCTTCCACATGTATTTTATTTTTTATGACTCACTGATCAATTTTTTTATTTATTTTCATAATTTTTTGTTTGGAGGTAGTATAAAGAGAACTATATCTAAATTTCATTCTACAACCTGTTGTGAATGACAGTAAACTATCCTATGAATAACAAATGTTGAATAGTGTGCTGTGCTCATAAAAGTTGTTTAACTCACCTTGAATTGTCGTAAGGCTATACACTTTAGAAAGATTCCAAATCCCCCTGGGTCTCTGATTCATTAGCTGAATTTGTAGCAGCGATGTGCAGTAACAGCAGTCCGATGTGTACCTGCACAGTTCCAAAGTTGAAATGAGAGACAAACTCTCTCCCTGTCCATCCATCCTTTCCTCTCTTCTTCTCTTAACTCCAGTGTTTGGGTGACTAATGGATGACCCTGCAGTCACTCTGAACATAATCAGGACACATTGGGTCTGGTTTGGTCTAAAACATCCTCCATTAACTTTGTCACCCTCTAAGCTTTTGGCTTTAATGCATCAAAATCCTGACAGACAATGTCCAAAACCTGACTTAACCACTGGCAGAAGGATTAATGAGATTATTATCAGGAGGATAAAGACAAGCACACAGATATAACAGAGAGTGTAATACAGAAGTTATACCAACAGTAGACCGATTGCGCATTTGGGAATCATAATTGGAAAAGTGATTATATACTGTATTCAACTTGGGTTGTACTTGTTTTTGGATTTGAATATATTTAGGATATAAATTCCTTATCATTGTATACACCAATTGGGTATTATGACATTTACAATACGATTAAGATGATCTTTCTCCATTTAACCATTTTATAATTAACTTCAGTCCATCATCTGATGGTTAATCTGAGAGAAGATTACAAAAAAGGAGGTCTAGGAATATTGTGAGAACACAAAAACAAAATTTGGTACTAAAAAGAAAATACCAATCTGTCTACCTCAGACTGCTGAAGACTCATTTAGGCTTCAGCGGAACTTTGGAATTAGTTTTTGCACATAAAGAGAATCACTGCTGGTAATGGGTTGGGGTAAGTAAGTGTTCAACAATGCAAATACAATACCAATAGCTCCCCACCCGATGTCGCCATTTCTCTCTCTCACTCACTCACTCACACGCACAAACACACACAAAGGGTTAACTTCTGTTTCTCTCTCCAAGAAACAGGAGCCAGTCAAATAGGCGGTGTTATAGGTCACAGAACTTTCACCCTTCAGGCTGAGTTTATTCAAAACCCTCAGAATGTGAGTGAGAATGAACCTGTCCTGTTACAGGCAGTGCTGTAGTCAAGACCACCTTTGTTGAGTCCAAGACAAGCCCAAGACCAGGACTAGTTGAGGCAGAGTCAAGACCAAGTACAACAAAGTTTGAGTCCAAGCCAAGACCAAGTCAGAGTCAGGACAGAGACAGAATTAAAAGAATGCTTTTGCCATGGCCAGTGAGATGAGTCTTGGCAGCCAGGCATACAATTGCAAATGACATTGATTGGCCGACTGGTAATCATGTTCAAGGAAACCAGGTAACCATGGTTATCAGGCAGTCAATGTCACTACCCGTTCTAGATGAATTTTTAACTAAACCAATACCTGTTTTTGGAACAAGCGCACTTCAACACTGGTTTTGTTTTGAAGGAGGAAGTTACTTCAGGAAAAACAACATATATTGCAGGACTCGGTCAAGACCATCTAGGTCTATGTCTTGCTGATTTTCTATGATTGTGAAGAAAGGCCTCGGAAGCATCAGGGACGCTGTCTTCAGACACACGTGACTGACAAATTGCTGTGTGAAGAATGACTGCAGGAAATCAAGCAGACATTTGAGTTGGGTCTGACTCAGATCATTGACCCAGGTTTCGGTTCTATATTTGAACAGGACCTAGTTCAACAGTCAAACCGCCACCATGCTCAGAAACAGGGCACTTAATGAACCAAACATAGAGCCACAGAAGTACAGCGTAAACATCTTCCTAGCCCAGGATACCTAAATAACATCACCAGCTCACCTGCAAAATGCAAAAATGTCCCTTTAGGTTTACAATTGCTATACAGCACTTTTTACTTTCATCTTAGAGATTCTTGTTATCTGACTTGGTCATAAGAGACTTCCCCGACACTGACACCTACTGGCGATTTACTGCCACTGCTTCCAAACAATGGTACTGACAATGAAGAAAATTGTACCCAAAATTCTAATTACAGCAATTTCTTTCCATAAACACATACAAAAAATATAAAACTAACTTTCCTAACTTGCATTACATCCAATATTTTTTTAATATTATTATTAGTAGTAGTAGTAGTAGTATTTAATCCATTCATTGGCCCAGGCTAACTCCACCCACATCATCTCATTGGTTGGGAGGTTTAAAGGGGGGTGTTCAGGGGAAGGAATAAAGGGAAAGGTCGCCATCAATAATTTTTGACACAAAGTGTTGCATGTATCTGCTTCTCATATGAATAAAGGGCCCTGCGTGACCGATATAGACTCAGTAATTTTCCAAAACTGCGGCGAGAGGACAGTGTTCAGTCTACAGCTAACTAAAGGTGAACTGCACAACCTTGAGTTTGATTCCACTCATCTTTGTACATGCATTCCATACAGTATGTGTGTTTAAACTCCCTTGCACTGGTTTCTTATTATATTTCAAGAAAAATATTATTTGCAAAGATTAGAAAAATATTTAGCTATATAGATATATGAATATATGAGAATAGCTGATTTTAAGTGAATTGGCCAAGCAAAAAACTAAAGGTGCACAATAACCACAGTGGAGAAATCAGTATTAATTCTGCATATTGTTCAAATGTGATTACAGGTAATACTGAGTAATAATTGTTTCTTATAACCACATAGCCCAGTTGCCCTGACATTTTGCTCTGGCAAGTCTACTACAGTAACTGGTGGTGCAGAATAATCCATGCATTTTTAAAAATATATTTTTAGGGGCTTTTATTGCCTTTAATTGATACAGACAGTTGTGGAGTTACCGGAAAGGGGGGAGGGAGAGAGAGGGTATCACACACAGCAAAGGGCCACAGGTGGGATTCAAACCCATGGCTGCTGCAGCAAGGACTCAGCCTTGGTACATGGGGCGACAGCTCTACCAGCTGAGCTACCAAATGCATCTGTTTTTGAGATTAGCAGCATATAATATATATTAGAAATTTATCAAAGAAACATAATATCAATTCTGCAATCCCTATTGTATACATCAATGGGGAATTATGTGACTTCTTTCAGTATTTGCCAATACTATTGAGATTATCTTCCTCCATTTGAACCCTTTTCACTTTAACTCCAGCAGATCCCCTGATAGTAAGATTGGAGAAAGTATTCAAAATGTATCAGCATATGCCCACTGGAATCCATTTGTCATCCAGGTTTCCAAAAAGCACCTGAGCACTAAAAAAGATGAGAACAAATGTGACTCTTACTCTACTGCAGACTTTTTTCGGCACATTTTGCATATGAGCTAGATAGATTTTTATGACTGCGCCTTAAACCATGTCATAGTAGTTATAAGACCGTGTTCTATTCACTGATTTATTGGCTGTCATTGCATGATTTAAGCACCATAGCAGATTTCCCTTCTCATAACTCTTAAATAACACGATAAAATGGCTCTCAATTATTAATAAGCGGAGCTTTTGCCAGAGCTCAGAGCTGTCCCAAACTTTTGTTCTCCCTAAGCTTAGTTTATTACATTTTCAGGAACTAAAATAAAATTTAATAGCATATAAACTGGAAGTGGAAATATGAAAGACAAACAATAGACTTACCAGTATATATTTCTATCTCAGCAATATCACCTGCCTACAGGCTATAAAGTTATAAACATTGTTAAAAGATAGGTTCACAGTTTTTCAAAGCAGTAGTCTCAAAGCAATCCTGATTAAAAGCACTTTTGGTCAATTTAATCAGTTTTCCTCTTCATGGCAGAAAAAAAGGTCAAGATGTGATATTTAGGAGGCTCTATTGGCAGAAATGGAATATCATTTTCATAGTTGTGTTTTCATCAGTGTGTAATCAGCAGTGTGTACTTGTGTTTTCGTTACCTTACAATGAGCCATATGTAGTGCATTTCATCTAGAATGTGAATCTTGTGTATGCGATAAATGCCCGGATGTATACAAGATTAGGAAGAATTTCTGAATATGCGGCGTGAGCTTGCTACACATAAACTGCCCAAAATGCATTGCGCCTCTTCAGACTGGTCAATGGCGGACTACGAGTTGGACAGTTCTAGACAGTTTTTTATTATTTTTGTGTGTTTGTTCACCACTAGTATCACTTATGAGAATATTTGATATTAGTAAGAAATCAACCGTGTAGCCTAGATTTTAAGTATTGACAGTTTTATGAAAATTGATGGCAAAATGTGCTCAAACGAAGAGGTCACATTGATTTACATGCACGTGCATTCAAGTGAAAGACAGATGGTTCATCCAATCACCTGCTAAGTATTTTTTAAAGTGTCTGCCCTTTTCCAAACAGTGAACTTTAAGTGGAAATACATTTTTGCATGGAAAGGGAAAAACACCATCACTTAACACTAAAGTACCTAC